CACAACACTAGATTTAGATAAGCAAGGAAAAAATTAGTGATAGTGAAGTCGTGATGCGAGGATATTTGATAGGTGAATAGCTCATGACAGAAGAAGAGATGCCACAAATGTTTAGCAGACATTTGGTTTGAGGATCGCTTTCACTTGTCCCTTTGACGAGTTGTAGTATGCTGCCAAGAATGGCAAGACTTACTGACGATGCCGGCGAAATGTCTTGGAATGTACGACTTCCACGGTCCGATACTGGGATTTATCATGCATACAATGGACTCCGGACTATGTTCATTCCTCTAAGTCTTCCTACCAATATTACCAAGTTGCGAAAACAAAGTCAAACTACTTCTATACAACGAAAGGCGACTGCGACTACACAAAAGGCCACATCATTTGGTCTTCATATCTTCGAGTATGAAAACTAATTAGCCAAACCTATCAAGCCTTTGCTTCATGGATCACGTTTATGATCAAATACGTCTACTGCTAGCCAACCAACTCTAGTCTCTGCTGCATCTATCGTGCTTCTATGCATAACGCCAAGTCTATGACTTATTATGCCCTAGTCTCTTGAGGGCCAACCAAAAAATGTTGTGGTTTTACTTGTTTTGAAACTTACTTTTGTTTAAAAAATTTTTGTATATCCCAAAATGCTCTTATTTCTTGTTTGGCTTAACTTCAGGTTCTGCTCACCACCACTTTGATTGTGGTTCTTATGACTATCACTTTATTTGGCGGCGCCACGATGCCCTTTATCAAATACATAGATAACCTTTGTGAAAAACGCAGCTCTAAACAGTGCCCAGTACATAATGCTAGCAGCAGAAGCGGTTACAGCCTGAGTATGTGCTCTTCGGAAATCAGTATGCCGTCTAATCAGCTTCGCAAACCAAAGCTTGAGCTAACCGGACCTCTGCTAAAACCATTTAGGCCAGACCATAAAAGACCTTGTAGATTTGGCAGAATTGAAAGGAAAAGAAATGCAGGTTTCCGACTCATGGGCCGACTACCAGCAAAAGTAGAGGCTTATAGAGGTAAATAAAATAAAATAAAACTCTTTTGGTCGTATTTATGCATTATCAAGCAGCTAGTCTTCTAAACTTTGTCTTGTTTTATTTATAATTGTTGGGCTCTTGTTCATTTCGAATGGAAATTTTTGTTAACGAGGTTGCTTACACAAGAAAACGAAGCCCGGCTCCTCTTAAACAACTGCCGATTTGCTTTACTTAAACATACTTATTGATGCTGCTTCCGAGATAATCCCTTTCGATTCCGATGAAGGAGTGCTAAGCTTTAGTCAGTCGTATAACGAACACCAGAGTAGGGTAAGATTTTTATAACCATATTCAAGTTAACGAGTCAAGTAAACTTACAGACTTATCTGTAAATGCTGTATATATATCCTATCTCTAAGCCATTTGATGAAGTATAAAGATGTTTATAAAAGTGGGTTGACCTCATCGTCCAACTTGTTCTTGTTGTCAGGGCAACTTAATACAACTCACCTTGTTCGAAGTCCTCTGTCAGTAGTTATTATAAATCCTAGCATCAGACATTGGACTTGGTACATTCTCAGACGTTTCGCCGGCATCGTAGCCGGCATCATCAGTGAGTTTTGCTATTTTACGCACCAAGCTACAAACTCGTCAAAGATACAAGTGAAGCCAATCCCTCGACCAACATTCTGCTGAATGCGGTTCCACTATCAATCCTCTTTCTGCACTGACCCATCTATCTGCTTTTTGCCCCCTTATGCAACTCTCGCCCTATCACAACTTCTGACTTGTTTACATTCCACTCGTCAAAATGTGTGTCCGTTTGTAGCTCAACCCTCTTCTAAAAATCGAAAGGAGACTGTGATCATACCGGGGCCACATCATATTAATCTTCATATCTTCTATAAATTGGTTTGCTTAGCTCAAGTTATATGTCAATCTCGAACGCGTAAATGTGTCTGTCTGTGTAGGTTTATGTGTTTCCATATGTTCGCATATCTACGGAACTATCAGTAATGGCCAAATATAATTAGAGCAGAAAAGTAACGTCCGCATTAGACCATCAAGTTTTGATGACCGCCATCGCACATCTCTTTGTATATTTTAACCATCACTACGATTGCGCAAGGTCGGGCACACATCTTTTGATGAGTGAGTCAGTGAGTCTCGCCATTCTTAGCACCATACAATAACTCGTCAAAGAGACAAGTGACATGTTGTTGTATGGGGCTAAGAATGACAAGACTTACCGAGGAAGCGTCTGGGAATGTACCACGTCCACGGTAAGACTTTGGAAATTATCATGCATACAATGTACTCCTGACTAGGTGAGTTCCTCTAAGTCTTCCTACTAATATGACCAAGTTGCGAAAACAAGGTCAAACAACTTCTATAAACTACGCGTGTTTTCCAGTTGCTTTAGGATTGCCATTAAGCATAACATTTCTTATGAAAATTTGGCTATAAGGAATTTGTAAATTGACTACTACAGAATCCGAAGGAAATTTGCCCTGCCTTCATAATTGAGAGTGTAAGCGTATATCTTCGACCCAGATAAATTATTAAAAATTTCTATTTCCCATTTTAACAGTCATCATTAAATTAAGAGTGATGAATGATGACTTCCTATATTCCCACCCACCTCATATTGGTACATTTTTACATTGACGCCTCAGACGATATGTTTAGTTGAGTCACACTTCCTCTTTAATTATTATGGAGAAGTGAACTTAAGGCGAATGTGAGTAAACATTCATTTCTTCTTATAAATTACTTCTAGTGTAATCTCACAATATTAATGCTAGTTCTGGTGTGGCTATTTGTGTACTGTATGCATGCAGTATTCATGAGTGTTAGAGACATAACCTGACTCAAGGCTAATCGGGCCCTCTCCTCTTTCTCGGTAATACAACTTGCTCTTCTTAGGTATGAAGACCAAGATGGTGTGGACCCCGGTATGGTTGCAGTTTCCTTTCGATTTATAGAAGTGGGTCTCCTAGCGATTTATAGAAGTGGGCCGAGAGGAGGATATCCTGTAGGCAGAAAAGATCAGGGGGGAGTCGTTAACACACTAATCAACTTGACAATAAGGATAATCTATTTTACATTTAATGGTGCCATCTATAAACAAATATTTGGACTTCCCCTGGAATCGCCGCTCTCAGCACTTTTAGCAAACGTATATATGAACAAAATAGAAGAGAACTTCAAGATGTCACCAATACAACCAGCTGCGCTCACTTTGATCACACTCTGATCGCATTTTGATCAAGTGGAAGATAAAAACTGGAAGAGTCTCAGAAGTTTATAAAACAAATTTAATGAAAAACTCAAATTCACGATGGAAGCAGAGTAAAGTGAGCGGTTACCGTTCCTGGATGTTGAAGGGATTCGCTCTAATGGGACGTTAAAAAAGAAATTGTTCAGAAAGGAGTCTTATGTCTGGATAATAATAACTTTTTAGTCCCATCACAATTATAGGCTAATGATAGGAATAATGGGAAGCATGATCAACCGATGCCTACGTTTAACGGATGTGTAATTCTGAGACGAGGAGTTGGACAATTTGACTAGGATATTCCTCGGCAACGGCTACCCAGGCGAAGTAATATAAGGAACCATAAAGGCCGTGAAAAGCTGATGGCAGAACTTGGACTATAAAAGAACAGTAAGAATGGAGAGGGATTCACAAAAGTGGATATGCCTAAATTCCTGCGAACTAACTCAAAAACTACGACCAATATTAAGGAAATGGAATATTCGGTTGACCATGGAAGAAAAAAACAACACTTTACAAGTCTACCGAAGCAACATGAAAGGGTGGACAAATTTGATTGTTCAGGAGTTTATTGTATATCATGCGGCGCGTGCAAACAGAAATATACAGGCGAAACAGGGAGAAAAATTAGCACACGAATCAAGGAGCATCAGAGGCTCTGCAGGAAAATGGATACCGAAAGATCAGAACTAGTGAAACACATCGCACAGACTGGACACGAGATCAATTGGAAGGCAACAGAAAAAAAAGCTCCATACGGGGACAACACAAGGAAGTGCAAGATTAGGGAGGCTGTTGACATCCTTGGGGAGAAAAATTTAATGAACAGGAGATTGGAGGAAGGTAGAGTTAGCAATAACTTTTCCTACTGCATAAGCAGACTCGGGGAAAACAAGAATACAGCAAGACCAGCAAAAAGGAGGCGCCTGGATCAAGGATCTATCGCTAACCGGAGGAACATGGTCGCAATGACAAAAGAGGGGGCGGGGATTTTCGGCAATCAAGCGAAGACGTCAGTGAGTGATGTCTGCTCGAATAAACCAGTACAACTTTGGGGGCCTGGTAGTCAGGGAGCTAGGTGGACGGATAAGCAAACCGTCGTTATGGCCAAAATGTACTAGAAATCCGCTTGAAATGCCGCATGCCAACAGAGATAGGCGTCCACATTTTGCTCAGATAACATGGGTTTAATCAAGGAGACGATCTGTGTAGCCAATGCCTGATATCTGCAAGCATGGGAAGCAGAGTACGTGCTTCTAGGGCCTTGAGAAATAGCGCCTGGAGTAAAGCACACACTGGGACCGGAACCGAATGAAACCGGTTAACCAGAAATGTAAGGAACGGATCTACGGGACCATGAGGGAGATCCGGATGAGAGGCCCTAGTCGGATTACCTGATCGAAAGAGAGGGGGTCGGAGCAAATAGCAGGTGTAATGAGGCCTCACTAAATTTGCCAAAAAATGGTACACATTTAGACAGTAAACGAGTCCTAAGCTGTGATAGGACTGGAGTTGGATAAGAGGGTAAAGACTAAATAGATGGGCTAGTACAGAAAGAGGAGTGATAGTCTAACCGTTTTTGGCAGAACGTTGGTCGAGGGATTGACTTCACTTGTCTCTTTGACGAGTTAGTAGCTTGGTCCGGAGAATGGCAACACTCTGTGATGATGTCAACGAAACGTCTGAGAATGTACCAAGTCCACGGTCTGATGCTGGGAATTATGATAGGTGCTATGACAGTGGGACTAGGTGCGTTCTACTAAGTCGCCCTGACAACAAGACCAAGTTGCGACAACGAGGTCAACCTACTTCATACTCATCTTAATTAATTTAAAAACTATGTTAGTAATTTTATTATAATCCCCCCCCTCAACATCATTTTATCCGTGGGCCTTAAAGCTTTGGGTTATGGGTCACTCAACCAAGTGTTTGGTATTGTTCATAAGCTCAAATACTTCAGATATCTGAATCTATCACTCTTTACAGGCTAAACTTTTATCTTTTAATAGGTATTTCTTACTCCTTGATCGATTCTCGATAAGAACTGGTGTATATAGATGTTTCAATATTCTTAAAAATAAGGTATTACTGAACAGTCTTAACCTCGCTTTATATATATTTCTGATTCGTTACCTCTTCAGTAGTTCAGTAGCTCTAGAATGATTGTTGGATAAACTGGCCTAGCTTAATTATCCAATTACAAATTGCTGATTCTCCTCATCCTAATTCTTTCTAAGTGAAATATACTTAGTCGAAGATATGAAGACCAGGATGGTATGGTCTTTTGTATGGTCGCAGTCTTAATTGATTCATGTATACTAATTAATCCCATTGGATAGTATATCCGAGCTAAAATAGCTAGTAAACTTTCCCATTCCGGTTTCAAGTGATTTGAACGTGCTAGCTGTGGACTTGCTATTATTGTATATTTCATAACGTCTACTTTAATAGCGTTATATAATTGTGGGAAAATTCTACTACCAGTCCTTCATCACCTTAAGTGAAATAGGGTGAATACATCTCATATTACCGTAATAGTGATCAGAAAAGAGATCGTAGTTTTTCATTTGTCTCCTATATTCTATCACTTAAATCAGGCTTGCTGCCAAATAATAAATAATTTTTAGGCCTATCTGACCGAAAAGTTATGAATCAAGAGAGCTTCTTTAATTAGACACACCTAAACTGTTGAATAGTGTTACTGATGGATAAGTTGCATGTTTGTAAAACAATATAGTGTATACTATTGGGAAATTTCATTGATGACAATTATCAATAAGGTAAATAAATTGTATAGGCATATCATGTCTTGCCAGAACTATCACTCGAATGTCCAGCAAGCCCTTAGGGAATCAAATATTTCTTTTATATCCTTTCTTCTATCGGGCTCTTTTTTTTTCTTCGATATACCTAATTTAGTTTTGAGTTTGCTTCTAATTCCCCGTTAGACTTTGTATCCTAATGCTTTTGCAGCTAAACCCAATTTTGTCGTAAGAGCGAAAATAATTTTGTGACCAATGCAGAATAAAAGTTGGTTTTCTAAATAGGGCTTATCTTCAGTTAACCTCTTGACCATTTTCTTTTCCCTACTTTGATTTTGTCAATTCCAATCTTTTTTCCTAAAGCAGAGCTTTCTAGAAGTTCTTCGGATCCCACTTTCACGCCTGCCGATTCCCTGCGAATAAACGCGAGCACGGCGACCTCTTTGCCCATGACAGCTATGGACTGGAAGGATGCTGAAGGGGCGGCAGAAGATGTTCAAAAAGACGAAAGAGTTGCTTTGCTTGTAAAATCAGATACCATAGCAACCAATTATAACAATGCAACCAGTCTAACAGCATCGGCAAAGACGAGAGTTCCCATTAGTATGCGTACGAAACATAGATGTACTATTTGCTGCCGTAAGAAACGCGCTTCAAGCCGATCACTAAAGAATCAGCTAGGGCTAGCTGAAATAACTAGTCATAACAAACCTATTGTGAGACAGGCTGGTTTCGTATGGTTTAATCGACGCTTTATGATTCCTTGTTTTGCTCGCGTGCTAAAACCTCGCGAGATCGAAGAAGGCAAAGCTCAGATTACACAATGGCAACGTAGTTGGCTTATGTCGGTAAGGAAACAACAAGGCTGTTGGCCCTCTAACTCCATCATCTTTCCTTCTCTTTCACCCTGCTCCTCATCTAGTTCCATCACTTCTGAACACTTATCTTCTTCTCCCTACCGAAGCTCTTCTTTAAGCCCTGAACCCTCCGCCACTCCTGGCCATGTCACCTCCACCAGGCATTGTGAAGTAAGACAATAAAGTCAACTTTATAGATGGCCAAAGGTTCATGAATCAGGCCTGCAAACTCTGATCCCTATACACCTTTTAGGTCAGCCTGTTCCAACTTGACGAGCACGCCATTTCATGGCTGAATGATCCCATTATCCAAGGCTCTAGGTGCCAAATTCTGGGTCCTGTTATTCTTAAACTCGAATTCATTTATAATATATCTTCCTTTATTTATGTAGAAGTCATGTGAAAATTATGTGATGATAGGTCTCAAGCATTTTGTCACCTTTGATTTATTTTCTTTTTTGCCTATGTATATTATAGACTATAATTCATGATTACTATTTTATCCGTTAAACCTTCAAACAGGCATTCAGAACCTTACGGAATTAACGGATGTATACGCATGCTTTAGTAAATATTTTTGTCGGACAACAAACAATGCAAGATTAAACTTTTTAGATACTTTGTGAACGTTCTAATCTATTAATGCGGAAACTTTTGGCTCCCTGGTTGATTTAATTTTTTATTAGGACTTTATTAGTCTTACTAAAACGGGAGCACATTTCAGTCATTTACTGAGACTAAGCTTGGTTTTTGTGGCAAAAATATTAAATAAATATTTACTTCTCCAGGGTATCATAAGTAAGAGAGTACAGCATTTGAAAAGAAGGGTTGATAAGATAAAACTTTTAATTGTGTTCACAAAAATTTGCGATCTATCTAGATGAGAATCTTTCCCCATGGGCTCGCGTTTTCTAATATAATGTAAAGATCTCAGCCTTCGTCCAAGTAGAACAGTGGAGAGTTTCCCCTTTTAATTCTTGGTACGATATCACATAAGCAAAACATTTTAAGAAAGCTCATTGGTTGCATTTATTCGAGATTCTGAGGATGGTTAAACGGGCTTTGTTTTCTGTGTGCTTCTTCGTATATACTAATGGGTAGTGAGTTTTGACGAATCTCCTGAGCTAGCATTATGTAGATATCCATTTCGGTTGATAGAGCCTCATGTAGAACTTTATAGATCGAGCTCACCTAAGATGACAGTTAATTTCTGTTGTTATGCTGTCGTTTGAGTTTACTACGGTGTTCAGGTTTATTCATTCTACTAGACATCTTTACTCGTTTCGGGTGAAATCAGGTGGAAATTTCTTCCTTATTATGGCAGATATCACCGGGGCTGGAACTCATTCCTTCAAAAGCTTTAAATTACTACTAAGTCAAGAAAATTATCAGGCTATACTTAACATATTATTTACACTAAATCTAAAAAAATAATGATTTAGTTATTTATTTCTTATATTAATCTTAGGACTTATACTTGAATGTATGTGTGAGTATGGTAGCATCTGTACTCTGGCCTATACGCGTACAGAGTTACAGCTTATCAGCTCAAATAGATGTATATTAGGCTTTATTGTGATTTCTATGTATTTTGACCAGCATTTCATACTCTGACTTAAACGCATACAGTAACAACGCTCACTCAAGTATGGGTACTTAGATTTCATGCAAAGAAAAGTTGGTTTTCGAGGAATCTCTTGTTTCATAATTGTTGAGCTTATTTGGATTTTGATTGAAAGTGTTGGGTGAAGAGATTTGAAGGTCGGTTCCACCAGAAGACGACGGTGGATTTCTCTATACCAGCTATCGATTGGCCTTACTGGAAGAGTCATGCTGACGCTGTTTCCGAGATAATCTCCTTCGATTCCGGTTAAAAGGTGCTAAGCTTTCGTCCATCATATAACGAACATCATCAGAGCCAGATATCATTGTCACAACAAAGTTCAAGCTAACGAGTCAATAAAACTTAGATTTTACTATAACAAATATCTATACAACCTGTGTTTACATTATGTTTTTAAAAAAGCGAGTTCCAGCACAGAGTGTCTGTTACGTGGCCTGACGGACAGAAGCTTATCCCATTTTTACCCGCTTTATAATAACTGGATAAAATATAAATCAGACGTCAATTTTTGATGAGAATGACCTATGAAGC